GTGGTCTGTTTGTGGTAGAAGCCCGTGTGTGGTCTGTTTGTGGTAGAAGCCCGTGTGTGGTCTGTTTGTGGTAGAAGCCCATGTGTGGTCTGTTTGTGGTAGAAGCCCGTGTGTGGTCTGTTTGTGGTAGAAGCCCATGTGTGGTCTGTTTGTGGTAGAAGCCCATGTGTGGTCTGTTTGTAGTAGAAGCCCATGTGTGGTCTGTTTGTGGTAGAAGCCCATGTGTGGTCTGTTTGTGGTAGAAGCCCATGTGTGGTCTGTTTGTGGTAGAAGCCCATGTGTGGCGTAGTTTCTGGTAGAAGCCCATGTGTGGTCTGTTTGTGGTAGAAGCCCATGTGTGGCGTAGTTTGTGGTAGAAGCCCATGTGTGGCGTAGTTTGTGGTAGAAGCCCATGTGTTGTATGTTTGTGGTAGAAGCCCATGTGTGGCGTAGTTTGTGGTAGAAGCCCATGTGTGGCGTAGTTTGTGGTAGAAGCCCATGTGTGGCGTAGTTGGTGGTAGAAGCCCGTGTGTGGTCTGTTTGTGGTAGAAACCCATGTGTGGTCTGTTTGTGGTAGAAGCCCATGTGTGGTCTGTTTGTGGTAGAAGCCCATGCGTGGTCTGTTTGTGGTAGAAGCCCATGTGTGGTCTGTTTGTGGTAGAAGCCCATGTGTGGTCTGTTTGTGGTAGAAGCCCATGTGTGGTCTGTTTGTGGTAGAGATTATATCTATCGATATTTCTATAATAAATCAGATTATTTTTAGTTCTAAGTAATCAAGCTTTGGGCATTACGTCACAGATAATGCTTGGTTATTTTTTCAGTTAAACAACGGTCTAAACGAGTTTATATATATATATTCATGGCTGGGTGAAAAATGCAACTCTGCTAATTCAAACACTTTGAACAACTAATATCTATTTTTTTTTATTTCTAATGAAAAATTATTCTAAGATGGCGTCTGATATTTTCAACAGAAACAAAAATGGAATTTCGTCGAGGCAATCACGTAAGCGTTGTGTATTTGTATAATAATGGACGAAAACAACCCCACCCGTACCACAACGAAAGTATCCATGTAACAGATAGTTACCAGTGTGAAGTTAGATAGGTTGAATTTTACATTTGTTAAAGCTGGCGTTGATGTATTGATCGTATGATGGTTAATATACCGGACATTAATCTCAGTTCTCTCCACATGGGAAACGTTAGTTTGTGAAGACTTCTTCACTGTTGGAAACTATCCCGAATCAGTTCTACCGATAACGGGTTCTGTAAGGATATTCATCGTTTCAATTTCAATGAACTGAATTGTCATTGACAACCCATTTGTTTGCTGGTGTGAGTGGTCCATCCTTGATGTTACGGTGTGCTTTATAACCACCCACGTGCTATTGATACGTGTTTAAATCATGGATACATGTTTACAGAAATAGGTTTTCATGCTGGTATCTTTTGTTTGGTGGGGGGGGGGTGTTATTTTTGTCTTTCCGGTTTTTTTGGGGGGGGGGTTGTTTTGTTTTTTTGTTTGTTTTTTGTTTTGTTTTCAAAATGAAACAAAAGAATATCTATAAGCGATAATTAACAATTCCATGTATTACCTATTCATTTTTTATTAATGAAGTACTGGAATTACAGCATGCCTGTCCCTTAACTTTAAAGTCGTGAGTGTATATCTCGGAATTACAATTCCGATTCTTCATTAAGTGGATTATCATTAAGTAGAAAATGGAAAACAAAATACTTCAGTTGTGTATTTGTAACTACATTTAAAAAGAACACCTCCATTTAACATCAAATTGACGTCATTATAACAAGTAACAATAAACACCCAGTTGGTCTAAGAATACCTTCCTGCAAAAACAATCTTATCATTAACTGGCAGCAGATTAAACCGGATTGAACCCATCCTTTCACACACCGTTGAGCTGTTCCATATTTGACCTTGTTACGACCCGTTAATTGGTCAAACTTCGTCTGTATGGGTAATGATGTCTGTGGGGTGGATGCTAATTAGTAACGACAGTGTTTTTTTATACCCAGCATAACTAACAACATGCTTGAGCAGCCTCCTAGAGAGATATGCCATTAACAGTTTCGTTATCTGTAGGCTGCTTATTCTGTATTAGACGTATTTATTGCAGAAGCAGGCTGCACGTTTTAATCTGTTAAGAGAAATTTCAAATGTTTCATTTATTTCAATCATTCGAAATGATATCAATATTATTGATTAATAGTTTATTGAGATCGATAAATTGATCAGTTTGTGGAGAAAAAAATCAATGTATCTTTATTTATCTAAATATACTATTTTTGGACCAATGATAGCTTCCTTCGGTTGAAAATTTTTATAGTGATTCTAGGTAGTTGACCTTATTAAATGAATGGAATTTCTAATAAATTTTGTAGGCAATGTTCTTACGGAATGAAAACGTTAAATAGGTACCAACAGTATAGCTTACTAAGGACTAAACATTCTATCTCTGAAGTATGTGTGATTAAAAAACTCCATATTTGTATCTTTATCAAAGATGAAATTTTACAATTTTAAACAGATTTACCTTTCCGGAACTATTGGTCTAATTTTACCATGTTATACAGATTTACCTTTCCGGAACACTTGATCTAATTTTACCATGTTACACAGATTTACCTTTCCGGAACACTTGTTCTAATTTTACCATGTTACACAGGTTTCCCTAATTTTCCAAGTTACACTACCTTGAACACTTGATCTAATTTTACCATGTTACACAGATTTACCTTTCCGGAACACTTGTTCTAATTTTACCATGTTACACATATTTACCTTTCCGGAACACTTGTTCTAATTTTACCATGTTACACAGATTTCCCTTTCCGGAACTCTTGGTCTAATTTTCCATGTTACACAGATTTCTCTTCCCGGAACACTTGATCTAATTTTACCATGTTACACAGATTTCCCTTCCCGGAACACTTGATCTAATTTTACTATGTTACACAGGTTTACCTTTCCAGAACTCTTGGTCTAATTTTACCATGTTACACAGATTTACCTTTCCGGAACTATTGGTCTAATTTTACCATGTTATACAGGTTTACCTTTCCGGAACGCTTGATCTTATTTTACCATGTTACACAGATTTATCTTTCCGGAACTCTTGGTCTAATTTTACCATGTTACACAGATTTCTTTGAACTCTTAATTTTACCAGTCTAATTTTACCATGTTACACAGATTCCCCTTTCCGGAACACTTGATCTTATTTTACCATGTTACACAGATTTCCCTTTCCGGAACAATTGGTCTAATCTTACCTTATTGTTCTATTGTACATATTTTAGCTTGTTCCATCGATTATAAATCTGAATGACAGCTTTGTTATCATGTCGGAAGTCCTGTGAATGTTTTATTTATCACAATGTTTTCATTTTTTTTAAATAGGATAATAGTGAACGCAGGCATTTCTGCCTCTGTATTCACATCAATACAATATATTATTAATATAAACATAAAATTAGACTAGATAGAAGACGCTGTATGATCGTACTTCAGTTCAAGATCTTTCCAGAAATCGTCTAGGTGTTTTTCAAAATCATGAACGTTAAGTGATGAAATTGCCCATTGAGGAAGACTATTTCAAGTATCAATTATTCTTTGAGTAAAATAATGTTTACTGTATTGAAAAAAAAAAGAGGAAAGAAGTCTCGCGAATTTGTTAATTTTGATTTTAAGGAAGTGAATAGGGAAAACCTTGCAACTTTATAAATATGTTTTGATAGAAAACAGAAATAATGGACCGATAAATTATGACGAAATTTCGGGAATATTTAATTCTTATCTAAAGGTATGACATATAACTCAATGCCATCTTTAAAGTCATCTAATCGGTGGTATATACTGATGGTGAAATGGTACATAGACCAGCTAGTTTTTCTGTACTATATTTAAACAAAAGAAGTCACGGAGTTCAATCAAATTAAACCGTCTGACTAATGTCATACGTTCAGGCAAGTAAACATAAACATAAAAAGGTAGATTAATTTGATTAAACAGAGGGATTCATATCAGTATAGTTATGACTTTACACAAAATATAGCCCTAAGCGGGACTTAACGCCAACACATGTTTGTTTTTGTTTTTCGTTGATTTCTAAAAACAAGGGCAAATCTAGCAAAACTTTACTGTAAACTTACTTTGCTGGTTTCGCATTATTTCTGTCAACATTGAATGATTGAAAAAATACCAAATGTTTTAAATGGTTTCAATGTTTTCATATCCACTTCTATCACAAGAGGTGGGGTTATTCAACTCCACGGGGCATCGATGAATCATTTCTATAATTGTGTAAACATGTCACTTTAGCGTGTTTTGATTGGCTTAAAGACTGAATGAACTTTGACAAACTCCTGGAAAATGGAATACCCAATCAGCGATTGATGATTGTTTTCTTTCTTATTGAATTTTTATCCTTTCTTTCTTTCATTTTTTTTTTTTTTTTTACTTTTTTTAAAATTAAAAATTGCTTTGAAGATAACAAATTAAATTATATCAAAATAAACTTGTAGTGATTGTGATGAGTTATAATATATTTATTTCTTATTGAATTTTTAAATAGCCATATTTCACATTATTACGCTCCAATTGTTGACATAGGCAAAACAGAAGTGGGTACAGAACAGGTCAATTCAACTTCAAAATCGCTTCTTTAATGTTGTAGAAACAGGTCACACATTAAAACCTGTGTTATGTTTCGTAACTTTTGAAAATAATAATTTCATTCGAGTTAAAGAAATACGAAATACCTCAACCAATCGCTGTGTGTCCTTTATTTATATGTTTACATATCTTATTTGAAATACTGATTTTCGTAAGTAAACAAATATGTCCCGGATGTAACTACGAAAACATCATTACATGCAACATTTATGAAGGTAACAGTATTTTCTTACTTCAAATTAATCAATCTTTTCCAAATGTTTTACAGCTGCATATCTACGTGACAAGTGACAGACGATCTCATCTGCCCATCATCGAAAATATGCCAGCTTCGAATCAGTCATTTCTGAGGCCTGCTGGGTTGGGAGAGGACCGACCTATTATCCAGATTGTACCAGAAATAATGATTTTAGGAACAATATGGTGCCTTAGTATCATCGGGAATCTGCTAGTCTGCATTGTGATTTACAGAAGTCGGCGTGTGCAGTCTACCACTAATTACTTTGTGATTACTTGCGCATGCGCCGACCTAGTTTTCGTATGTGTTGTTATACCGTTGATTTGCGGAAGAATCATAATGAATGAATGGCTTTTCGGAGACTTTTTGTGTAGATGTGTGCGGTTTGTACAGTCTGTTTTCCCCAGTGTCACCCTGTATATTCTCGCGTCTATCGCTATAGATCGATACTATACAATTATCTATCCTCTTAGTTTTAAAGTGACCAGAGAAATCGCCAAGAGAATGATTATCATATCCTGTCTAGTGGCATGTCTATTGTCCAGCTTTAGCTTCTATTTCTATCATGAGGTAGTGATAATGAGTAACGCCAATACGTCAAAGAGTGTCTGTCCGACGTACGTAAATCCGCAGTATGCTGTAGGCGCGGGGTTCAGTATAAGTTTTGTGATACTACAATATGTGATTCCTGTAATGATGATTGGATTCATTTACTCGCGGTTAGTACGATTTATATGGAGGTCTGGTGAATATTGCTTACGGTTCAAAAGAACAACGAACAGCGTGCCTAGAACGAAAGTGAAGATGCTGAAAATGTTGATATTTATGACAATCGTTACCATGGTGCTATTTCTTCCTTCTTTTATCTTTACGTTATGGGTTGCCATGCGTTCACCGGAAATAATGAATCCGACTATTTTTATAGTGTGTCTAATTTTACTTCTCTTTGCAACAGTTGCCAAACCTTTGATATACACGTGCTACAACTCTAACTTCCGGCGTGGCTGTAAGGAAGTGTTTTGTATGTCCAGTTCTCGTTGTTATCGTAGCAGCACATACGTAATCACGACAGCCTCAGCATTAAGTAAGAAAAATCATGTAGGAGTTATGAAAGGTAGTTCTGACAGAAATTCTCCGACTAAAGCCTTTGACAGATCTATCCAGGAAGACAAGAATATTTGGCCTATTCATAGCGGCATGCCTACGACCTATCTCTGATCTAACTTTTCTTATTATCATTTATTTTTTAACTGTTAGGATGCGACACTACTGAATTGTGTCCTTTATTAACATAGGTGAAATAAAAAGTATTAATGTTTTGATACATGTTCATTCTGGTACTTTTTACGTACAAATCCTGTCTAAGCCGTTTTTGCCATAAATGATGATTTGGATAAAATTTGTACTCTTTATTGCATTTCATTAACTTACCTCAAAAGATACACACATATATATAAAGATAACATCGATCACAAACACGTTCCCTTTGTAATTGTTTTTCTAATACTGCCCCGGATGGTAAACGGTTACCTGTTTGTTAGTTTAAATGAGTGGCTGTACTGTTCTATGACGACTTCTTATATACAACACAATTTAAAACAATATAAACAGACATGTTGTTGAAGGCATCAGATGTTTACATTTTACCTAACTTGAATTTCCATTTATGAATAGCAACTCCCCTGCATAACTAACCTATGATGTTTACATGTCATAGTTGATTCAATATTCAAGGGCATGTTCCCATTATCACTATTTTCGTGTGAGAAGTCGTCAACTGACGGAATAACTTGAAATATAGGGTTTCAAAAGATGCAGGTTGATGAAAATCTTAAAAAAGTATTACGGTCGTCATGGTAATACAATTAAGAAACAGTATATTACTTTATGCGATATGAAGCTGGACGTGTTTGATGCTCGTTAGTTTGTCTGTTGATTCCGCTGTTGTACACCTCGTTCTCATGATTTACCAAGATTTACATGGCGGATTTCGTCGATGAAGCGGATGACTGCTTACTCTTCCGGAACATCTGGTCTTATTCTCCTCACTTTTTCAAGAGTCTCCGTACAAATCGTTATTTTGTTAACAATTCGCCGTAGTTGAAGTGAATTTGAATTTGGATTATGATATGTTAATAATGGTGGTTTTATCTTGTTTTTTTTTTTTCCAATGTTACCCATCTCTGTATATGTAAAGGTTACCACAGAGATCGGGATAATTCCTCTGTTCACAACATGTTAGAGTTATATTCTTTGTTATTGTATAAGTACTATTGGACGATTGTTGATATCTATATTTCCGTATTGAATGACACGTATTTGGATAACTTCGGGTTCGACAGTTAAATCCCGATGTAAGCATACGAGCTTAAATGATTTTTCATTTCATAAGAGACTTTATAAATGCGACGAGTCAAAAATTGAAAGTTTGAAACGAGTTTCATAAGATTTTACATGACATGCAAACTTTGAGATACTTTTATCACATGAGTCCAGTAAGTATGTTTTGACCATTCTAAAGTAAAAATTCATAAAGCCATTTTCCATATCATGACATCACATAAGACTAATGACTGGCGCATCCAATGACCCTGCGTTTTCCCTGCGCCCAGCTGTTTAAAAGAAAGACAATCACATATATATGTTCATATTACAACAAGTTTAATTTCTGTTTGTTATTTCAAATTATTCCATACAAAGTATTGAAATTAAGAACTTCTGCTAGAGCACTAGTTTGATGTCTATACAAAGTTTTGAGTAATGGGTAATTACCTGGAGTTTGTAATTTGGCCAATCTGTTTTCGTGTTAACAGAAAAAGTATTTAAATGGTGAACTTCCACCATAGCAGAAGATACTAATAGCCTAGTAAGTGTAAAAAGTTGTGAGCAATTATCTTGAATGGTTTCAGAGGGTCGGCCCAGAAAAACTGAAATTTGTGATGAGGGTCATCGGTTTCAATGGTAACAGTAAATGTATTAATAAAGTTTTTGACAACATATCTTGACTATAAACATTGTTTAAAAAAGTCTTAAAAATAAATGTACAAGAGTTTCCCTTTCAGAGACACATATATTGTTGAGAGGACTATCATTCGTCTTTGCTATAAAAACTTTTGCAATCAAAATATGGTGAAAGGCAACATAGTTTTAGTCGGATTTGTAAAGGCGGTGGTTATATGTTTAACAAGTCTGCATTATTAACATCAGAATGTTCTCTACCATCGTTTTCTTTTCTCTTTGCTATTGAATTTTTCGTTCTGTTAATTAACAAATCATAAAATGCTTTATACACCTCAGTTTTTTTAAGCAATGTTGACTTGTGTTTGATAGCAGAAAGAGGGCAAAGTTATAAACACTGTTACTACTATTCTGTTATACATGGTAATTCAGAAAATCAATATAAATATATATGTTTAAATGAAATCCAAAAGTCACAATATATTACATAAAATGCATTTTTCTGGAAAAAAAACACTCACCACAAATAGTTATCTTATCATCGTGCATTTTAAGTGTCTGCTGGAAAATTTCTAAACATTCAAATACTTGATAATAATTAATTTCAAACAGTTATCGAAAGAATATCCACATCTTGTATACTTAATATAATTAGGAGACAGGACAGGTTTTTCGTCAAATCGGGACCTTTCGGCTGCGTCCGTGTTAGAAACCATGTCTTATGGAAAGGTTCCCGAAGATTAAACCGGAAATCATGTACATCGGTGCACAATCGTGCTCATATCGTGAATGGTTAAAATTGTAATTTTTCAACGAGATATTCGTTATATGCGTTTGTTTAAAACCATTGAAGTATATTTTTGTTAAATCCATTTGAATTATTTAATACTTTAAATATGATTTCATTTCCACATGAGAGCTTAAAACGATATAAAATCATGTTTATCCATCCCACGGGTCGGCAGTTTTCATTGCGTGCTGCGGTAAGTGTATTGTGGGTCATAAAGTTCCAGCCACACTTCCGTTTAAAGTTGATCGTATGGGCAGTTTGTTGGAATTGAATAACCACACACACAATACCAAAAAGCGCTCGCTGCCCTCGCTATGATATTTCGAACATTGCCTCTCCGTGTGATATATCTCTCACTGTCATATTAAAGTGTTGGTTCACACACTGTCATATTGAAGTGTTGGTTCACACACTGTCATATTTAAGTGTTGGTTCACACATTGTCATATCGAAGTGTTCATTCACATACTGTCATATTGAAGTGTTGGTTCACACACTGTCATATTGAAGTGTTGGTTCACACACTGTCATAACGAAGTATTGGTTCACATACTTTCATATCGAAGTGTTAGTTCACACACACTGTCATATTAAAGTGTTGGTTCAAATACTTTCATATCGAAGTGTTAGTTCACACACACTGTCATATTAAAGTGTTGGTTCACACACTGTCATATTAAAGTGTTGGTTAAAATACCTTCATATCGAAGTGTTGGTTTACACACACTGTCATATTAAAGTGTTGGTTCACACACTGTCATATTAAAGTGTTGGTTAAAATACCTTCATATCGAAGTGTTGGTTCACACACTGTCATATTAAAGTGTTGGTTCACACACTGTCATATTAAAGTGTTGGTTCACACACATATTTAATACACTGTCATATCGAAGTGTGTTGAAGTGTTTACACACACTGTCATATTGAAGTGTTGGTTCACACACTGTCATATTAAAGTGTTGGTTAAAATACCTTCATATCGAAGTGTTGGTTCACACACTGTCATATTAAAGTGTTGGTTCACACACTGTCATATTAAAGTGTTGGTTAAAATACCTTCATATCGAAGTGTTGGTTCACACACTGTCATATTAAAGTGTTGGTTCACACACTGTCATATCGAAGTATTGGTTCACATACTTTCATATTAAAGTGTTGGTTCACACACTGTCATATTGAAGTGTTGGTTCACACACTGTCATTTCTAAGTGTTGGTTCACATACTTTCATATCGAAGTGTTGGTTCACACACACTGTCATATTAAAGTGTTGGTTCACACACTGTCATATCGAAGTATTGGTTCACATACTTTCATATCGAAGTGTTGGTTCACACACTGTCATATTAAAGTGTTGGTTCACACACTGTCATATTAAAGTGTTGGTTCATATCGAAGTATTGGTTCACATACTTTCATATTAAAGTGTTGGTTCACACACTGTCATATCGAAGTGTTGGTTCACACACTGTCATATTAAAGTGTTGGTTAAAATACCTTCATATCGAAGTGTTGGTTTACACACTTTCATATTAAAGTGTTGGTTCACACACTGTCATATTGAAGTGTTGGTTCACACACTGTCATATTGAAGTGTTGGTTCACACACTGTCATTTCTAAGTGTTGGTTCACACACACTGTCATATCGAAGTGTTGGTTAAGACACTGTCATATTGAAGTGTTGGTTCACACACTGTCATATTAAAGTGTTGGTTCACACACTGTCATTTCTAAGTGTTGGTTAAGACACTGTCATATTAAAGTGTGCATTTCCGTCCATTTTTTCAAATTTTACGTTATAACATTCACAAACTGTTGTATCCCCGATACTTCCGACGTATTTTCTATAGTGTCCAGTTTCCTGTTTATATAAAGACCTCAACTTATGAGAGTAAATATAGGTATACGTTCAGGTTGAGTACCACCTGCCGGGCATACGACAGACATTTATGGAACAACTGTCTATATACAGCAGGCCTCAATAGAACGTAGCATTAATTTTCTGTCAATATGGTACGCCTTTCTACATCCCCACGCCAGCGTGATGCAGAGTTTACATTCTTAATATCACAACCAGATTATTGAAGTAGTATGTAATTAACAGATAATATAGGCAAGAGTAACACAAAAATACAGGCATGGTGACAAAATCAACTTTCCATGTATTGAAGGAGAAATATTAAACAAATGCCTGTTGTCTTTTTCCTCGTCGGAAATTCAACACGTGTCATAAAATCAATCAACATTTTTACATGTACAATATCATAATTAATAAAAACAAATCAGAATTTAGCAATTCTTCATCAGTTTCTCTGCAATGAATTAATATCTTAAAAGTAATATGATAATGTTTTCCTGCTTTACTCATTTTGGTGTTGATGCGTTTTTAGAATTTATGTTTTTTTGTTTTTTTGTTTTTGTTGTTGTTTTTGATATGCTCCTTTAACAAACAATAAGTTTCTCACCATCT